ATACAATTATCATCCTCAATATTGAGAATATCTCAATGGTTAGCAAGCCTATACTAGTCTCTTCAAGCATTCTTCACATCGTATGAATAAATGATGCATCCACCTGTAATTTCAACAAAAAGAGAAGTACAAGTCATGTTGAGTTATCAACAACTGCTTATGTAATACATTAATTAACTTCATAGGTGCTACCTAAGTATTTTGGACAAAAAAAATATCTCACATGAACAATTTTAAGGAATACACATCTAGTTCAAGTTCTACCAAGATTAATAACAAGAAAACAAAAGAGGGCAGATGGAGTGTGAGAGAAGAGAAGAAGAAAAGAAGTACCTTCTATAAGCATACTAAACATGGAAGGCAAGTGCTGCATCATCAAATGATTCCTGAATTTAGTACAAGCAAGCCAAGGATTTAGGAACTTCCATCCATACTTGTCCATGGAGCATTTCCAACTCCTATGCACATATCTTCTTCGCCTACAAAAGTTCACATGTAAAAACAATCTCATATCAGACTGAAAAAGTAAGCAAGTTAGGCAATTCAACTCACTTCATTGAAGGTGAAATTAAAGTCCAATCTCAACTACTGTAACGAGAGATATCTGTCCAACTTAACGGGCAATTGACTGGTTGAACTCCACTAGCATACCATAAACAAGAACTTTAAAACTAAAAGCAAAATATCACTATTTTCCAAGTAAATAGAAGCTCCTTCAAGTCTATGGAATTCATTCACTCAAAACCCTAACTTTCAAACTTCAACACTGGCAAGAAATTAAGCACGAAATACCAGTAGCAAAAACCCGTCAATTCTGTCCTCGGGCGCTGCTCCTTCATATACGGCCTTCCTCCGCCCAGATCTCGCCACCCAGGTCTTCGCTGCTGCATGCAAAAAGCAGAAGGCAGTCCCCATGAGTTCTTTCCTCTGTTTAGGTCGGTAGTGTCGAGTGACTCCCATGTTGGAGGCGGTCAGTAGCTCGAAAAACAGGGGATGGATGCGGTCTCCGCCATCGCAGTCGGGTCTCGCCGAGGAACATGGGAGCGCTGAGGAATTTTCTCGAGGTCGGAAATTACTCTTCACCGCGCCATTGTGCCCTCGCCATCTCTCCGTCTCCCTGCTCTCCCGCACCTATCTATCACCAACAAAGGAAAGTCAGACGACGACAAGGGAAGGCCAGGACGCCTGTTTGGGATGGGGATTTGGGGTTTTTGTTTGTTTAGATTTGGGAATGGGTTTGTCAAGAAACCTTGTGCCCTAGCCCATTGGTGGTGGGTACCAGAGAGAATCAAGGCGGCGAAAGGCAGAAGAAGAAGGTGGGGTGGAGACTCATCGGTGATGTTAGAGAACAACGAGAAGAAGAGAGGAGCAGTGGAGGCGTTAGATGAGGGAATGGGGTTCGGCATACCGAGAAAGCAAAGAAGATAAGGTTTTATGTGTTTGTTTGAATAAACGGTGGAGATTCATTCAGATGAAGGGCTTTGATAAAGTCTTTATGGGTTAGGGTTGGAAGGGCTCTCCGTTTGGTATTTGTCTTATCTTAAATATTAATAAAAACATTTAAAATTTAACTCTCCCGTCCTCCACACCTCAGCCTTACCTGCTTCTTAGTAATTTTTTCCTAAAAATATTTTTTAATTCATTTGGCGGATCCTTAAGTAGTTTACCAAAAGTGTGATTCATTTATTTCCCAGACAATGTCTTTCTACCTCGATTATTTCTGTCACAAAGTAATTTAGAATGAATACATAATGCTTTATCACAATGAAAAAAATATTATTGATATAGTATCATTGAGTATCCCCAACTATTTTGACAATGGTTGATGAAGTATTTACTTTTCGGCAACCATCTTTCAAATCGTTGCTCAAACTTTGCTCAATCGGCAACCATTTCTGTAATAGTTGCTCAAACATCAAATACTAGCAACTATTTTGATAATGGTTGCTGAAGCATTGTTATTTCAGCAACCATCCTTTAAATAGTTGATCAAACTTTGCTCAATCGGCAACCATTTAAGTAATAGTTGCTCAAACACAGGTACTGACAACTATTTAGATAATGGTTGCTCAAGTAGTGACTTTTCGACAACCATTTTACAAGGTGTTCCTCAAACAACAGGTACCAACAACTATTTAGATAATGGTTGCTCAAGTAGTGACTTTTTGACAACCATTTTACAAGTCGTTGCTCAAACTTTGTTCAATCGGCAACCATTTAAATAATGGTAGCTCAAACATCAAGTATCATCAACCATTTTGATAATGGTTGGTAAAGTATTAATTTTTTGACAACTATTTACCAAATGGTTGTTGAAGAGTTAGGTATTAGCAACCATTTCACAAATGGTCGCAGAAGTTCTATCTTATTGCAACCATTTTATAATGGTTGCTCAAAAGTTGGACATCACCAACCATTTTGTGAATGGTAGCCAAAAACCAAGTTATCAGCAACCATTTTCTTATGGTCGCTAGTTGGACATCACCAAACATTCAAATTCTTATCTCCCATAGAGCCTAGCTAGGTCAAGAAAAAGGAATGATGAAAAGTTGTGTGTATGCAATCTCATGGTCCTCTTTTTTTCTTTTATTAAGCTCCCTTATTAATTAATAACAATATTCTGAAAGCTAGTAGCTATAAGATTTCTTTATTCCCGCAAATTAGTACTGAAAAAGAAAGGACAATAGGGGGAAATTGTCCATTGAAAAAACCCAAAGGGGAGAAAAAGAATCACTAAAAGGAGGCCAGCCCTTTGAAATGATGCCTTGACTCTCTTCCACAGTGAGGGGTTGCTGCTCATCAAACAGTTCGCCCACCATCCAGACACACTTGCATTTGTCTTGGCCGGTGCAAACACAAATATCCACCAATTTCACCCACATAGACACAAACTCTAAACACTTATGAGTTGTTTGGATGGATAAATTGTAAAACGAGACAGTTTGACCAATTGTTTCATTTTATAAAATGAGTCATTTAAAACGAGTCGATTCAGATTACCTGTCCTTACCACAGACAATTGTAATTGACTCAAAATGAGTCAATTCAGAATTCCCCAACCAAATTGCTCCATCCATTTTTTTTGCTTCCAAACGGATCAATCTGACACAATTGTCTCAAAACGAGACAATTGTGTCAGATTGATCCATTGGAATTCCGCATCCAAATGACCCCTTAACAAATCTTATATTGACAAAACCAGTGAAAAATTCAAGGTTCATAATTACGAAACCGACATTAACTAATTAGAGTTTTGGATGACACGAAGGGGGCTTTGTGAGAATTTCGAAATTAAACGTGCTGACTTTTGAGCACTACAATGATTAGTGATTTTATGGGAAGTCATCTTGATATGCATCCTAAGACAAAAAAAAATACGAGGATCCAGACCCAAAGCGACAATATCTTGTCGGGAAACAGTTTGGAATTTTATAAGTAGTATCAGAGCCTCTTCGCGTCCTTTTTAAACAATGGTGGGGAAACCTCAACGAGAACATTAATTGGTGGTGGGGGGGGGGGTTATATAACACCTTAGGCAAATGCCTTATCGACAAAACACGAGAGAGATCCATGGTTCATAAGTAAGAAACCGACCTTAACTGACAAAAAGCGTTTTGGGGTGAAATAGAGGAATTCTTGTGAGAACTCCGAAGTTAAACGTTTTAGTAAATGAAATAAGATCCATTATTGAACATCTCCCAACAACTCGAGTTATTGGGACAAACTGGTTTCTTGACAAAACGTGCTCACCGTGGAGCACTACAAGAATGTGTGATCTTATGGGAAGTCACCTTGATATGCACTCCAAGACAAGATCTATAATGGTCTACCCCCAAAGCAGACAGTATCTTGTTGTTACGTGAATTTCTCCGGTGGAAATTAGTTTGGGAAAGTGATCGTGTGTTTGAATCTTCAAGACGCCAACATTAACTGTTGATAAGATCACAAAGTACGGTCGGCCTGCAAACTTCAAGCTCGTGAATTTTATTTTCGTTTAAAAGAGTACATTAGAGAGTTGATATAAAATCCATAATTAACCTTCTCGGCAAAATTCGAATTATTATGACAAAATGTTTATCACACTTGATTAAAGTTTTGGAAGGATAATCATCCTTATAAAAACAACCAACTACATAAATTTGGATTGGCTAGAGGAAGGGGGAATAAAATAGTGAAAATAAAATATAGAAAGAATCGCATTTGGCATTCCTACGTGGATCGGTCGTTTCCATATTATGGGCTGAAGCTGAAGCTGAAGCAGCAGCATGTGATGCTCTCTCTCACGAGTGGAATGCAAACTCAGCTGCGACTAAGAAATGATGAATGATTAGTCATTTATATGGTCACCTTTCTTTCAAATGCCTTGTCTTTTCAATTCCTTTACGGGTCAACTTGCCCACCTAACCTTGCCTCCGACTCCATAATTATTCAACTCACAAGAACCCTAATCAACTTCACTACACACGTGTACAGAATATGTATTTTGATTTAGGGTAGTCTCTGGCTAGTCATCAACACTACTAGCTTATAGAGTACTGATGAAAAAAAAAATGTAATTACTAATTACTAATTAGATAAAGAGATTAGAGATATCTAATGAAAAGTTGCCATTGATGAGTGTGCTTTGCTTGCCCACATCACGCTTATGACGTGGCAGATTAAAAGCATGTAACCCCACATTTTCCACCCTAATACAATGATGATCATTTTTACCATAGTATGCAATTTTTTACATGGACAAAGTTATGTAGAGTGGGAGTGGCGGGCTATGGTGGAGACTGGAGAGCCCACGGCGAGGGTCACGACAGCGACAATGAAACGATTGTTGGGATCTACAGAGTAAAATAGATGATCACGGAAGGGTGATTTGTTATTGAAGGATTCCAATGAAGGGCCAAATCTAGAAACGAAATCAACTGAGAGCGCGAGACCATAATGGCAGATTGTTATGTCGAGGCAAAAATAATAAGAGTATTTGTAACTTTTTAGAAAGATGTGAAACCACAACGCGTTTCAATTTTGAAACTCGACTTTTATATACGAGTATCGATAATAGGAAAATTTGGATCTTCATGACCCAAATCTTGGGCCCTAATATCATGTTGACAAAGGAAGAAGAAGAAGGTATTACAATCCACCTCAGAGTTGATTACTACACAGAGCATCGATGATCATATCATGCCAATACAGAGCTAGAACATTCGTATCATATTTGACAGCTTGTTTGTTTCCCCACATCCTAATTAGTAACAAAACCAGAGACAGCGGAGGACAGTCCATTGAACCACTCCAGAGTCCTCCTTAGCTGCGGATTCTCCGAGCCGCCGAAAACTGGAACGCCGCCGCCGCAGTGTGGCGCGCGGCTGCCGCATAGAGACTCTGGTCGTACGGCGACGAACCCATCATGAACAAGTTGCCATTGGGATGGTGGTTCCAGTCCATCCAGGCCAGCTTGTGCGGCGGCGAAAGCAGGGCGGCGGTGAGCTGATGGTCGATGGGCGGCGATGATCTCTTGTTGTCGGCGGAGACGGAGGAGGAGAGGCTGACGGTGGTGATGTCGTGGATGCTCGGCCTCCTCTTGTCCTTCACGCCGGAGAGCTGCTGCCTGATGAAGTACTTTTGTGCATGACTCGCCACTTGGGTTGGCGTCTTCGACACCACGAAGTTGCGAGATATGTTCCTCCAATCCCCTTTCCCGTACTTCAGTAGCCCTTTCAAGAATCGCCTGCACGATACACACCCGAAATTCGATCGCGTACAATGAAATCGATGAACAAATATCGTGTTTTGAGTATCAGTCCACAATAGAAATCGACACTATAATATGTTCCTTTATGAATAAACCTAAACAATTTCAGCAATTGGCATGAAATAATCTACTAGATGTGAGTTTTATTGGCTACAAAGATATGAAAATTAGTCACACATGTAAGGACTAAGGACTATAGTTTGAATTTGAGAAATTTGTAAATTTGACTGAATAAATACACTTGGAAATAACAATTTAATGTTGAATATATTGAAATTGGGGAAGTGAAGAGGAACTAAAACCTGTGCTCGTCTTCGGTCCAAGGGACGCCCTTTTTGCGGCCCTGATCGGAGGTCTTGGTGGAGCCCATGGGCCGCTTTCGGTACGAATCGACGAAGTCGGGCCCGTCGATGAGGTCCAGGCTGAAAGCCGCGTCGTCGCCGTCGTCGGCGGCGAAGTAACCAGGAATTGGAACCCTTCCAGCTTCGATCTCGCACAGGTCTTCCTCCAGTTCCCGGTACTGTTTGATCACATCGGAGACGGATTTCCCGGGGATCATGGCGGCGACTTTAAGCCAGCGGTGGGGATCGTGCTCGCCGTAGATGGCCAAAGCGCTCTCGAAGGCCTTGTTCTCTTCTCTGGTCCACTCCGAGCTCTGGCAGCTGCTGCTGCTGCTGCTGTCGTTTTGTGGGTGGTGGCTCGACATGTAGAAATGCGGGTAAAGAGCTTCCATGGCTACTGATTCCGTTTTATAATTGTGTTTTGTTCTTCTTTTTGGGGTGGGTTCAGAGAAGGAACGAAGTCTTCATGGTGAAGTTTGAGAAGGGGGGAGGGAGATGGGGATTTTTATCAATTTCTGGGTCGGCAGAAAAACAGAGGAGGGCTACTGAAGAATCTGCTTTTTCTTCTTATATGGAGAATCTGGGGGGAAAAGGGGGGGAATCGAGAGTGGGGAATTTCAAAAGGAGAATACAAATCTCTATCTCTTCGTTTCAATTTCAACCTTAGGAAGGAACCCAGATGGGGAATTGAGGCGAGATTTTGTGGGGGAGGAAGAATCTGGGGAAAAAACAGAGTCTCTAATTTGGGCGGTTTTTCAGAGGAATCTTGAATAGGGGACTGAAGAATTGAGATGTGGGTTTTGGAGTTCTGCGTATGGGGGAGATGAGATCGAAGAGGGAAGGTCGGAAGGTTGGGAAGAAGGAAGGAGAAGAGAGGAGACTGGAGAGGAAAGGAAAGCAGAGGTTTTTGGCAAGTGGGAAAGGTGGCTGCTGGACATTGGAGCAAGCAGGGAGTGTTTTGCCACTATATAACCCCTCTGTTGAAAGCACTCGCTGTTCCCCTTTTGCTCTCTTTTTATTTTGTTGAGGAAGACGACAACTGAATTTTCCATTCTAGTGTTTGTTTATGAAGAATGGAGATCTCTTTCGATTGACGTGAATACTTCGGTAAACACTCGCAAAATACACAAGTTCATAGTTTATTGTGTAAGCCCATTACATAACATAGGAAACTTCAAGGTATACCTTGAGTCGATGTTATCAAGTTTTTTGTTGTGCTTGTCAAGATGAAGCTAGTTACAATTAGGGGTGGTAAACGGTTTATCATTTTATCGAACCGGTAATCGGCGGTAAACGGTAAATCGTTTATCGGCGGTATCGGCAGCCGAGCGGGAAGTTGGGGGAGCCGGTTTACCGGACACGATATTGGTAAATACCAACGGTAAATCGATAATACCGATACCGAAATCCCTCCTCCCTACTCCACTAACATATAACATATACATCATTATTCACAAATATAAAATATTACATACATGAATGTAAGTAAGTATAGGCCTCAAAAATATTGTAAATAAGAGTTAATAATAAATTATTAATTACAAAAATGATGAAAAAAACTCAAAATATCAAAATATTCGGTAAACCGACCGAAAAACCGCCCGAAATCGCTTCTCACGGTATTTCGATAATACCAGTTTGTAACTGTTTACCGGTAATTCGGTAATCGGTAAACCGGTTACAAACCGGTGTCGGTAATCGGTAACCAATTTGACCAACTTCGGTATACCGAAATCGGTAAATTCGGTAAACAATTTACCGTTTACCGACCGAATCCCACCCCTAGTTACAATAACTTGAACTTTTGAAAGAAATTCAATTATAAATCTTATATAATTTGTGAATATCTTCACTTAAGTGAAAATCAACTCATATGAGGTTGAAAAGTGTACATGTTCGAATATAATGTGCATAACTAACGATGGTTGTCAAGATTCAAGCAGAAGACATATCGATCGTAGAAGGCTCTGATAACATGTCAAGAACCAGCTGATCCTAACAATTCAAGTTATTGAGAGCAACTGATTTTGACATGGTACCAGAGCTTTCGATGATCGAGAGGTCTTGTGTTTGAATCTCCACGGTGCCCATTAGTTATGCACATGGTATTCGAACCTGTGCAATTTTCAAGCCTATATGAGTTGGCTTTAGTTTGAAGGGGACGTATTAATAAATAATATAAAATTCATAATTGAACATCTCTCAACAACCCAAGTCATTAGGGCAAATTGGTTCTTTACAGCAATATGGGTACATTGAAGAATACAAAATTGTAGATGATTTATTCTAATTCAATAGAGTTTCTATAGTACACATATAGCACCGCTTCATGAAGAATATGTCATACCTCTATCAGGAAATGTCGAAGATGTCCTGAGTTATAAAGCTGGATATATACTCTCTCATTATATATCTTTATTTAATATCATCACGATCCCTTACGAAATGAAATGAGAGATTTGTGTTCAGATATATTTGTTGATAGTTATTTTAATTAAGAAATCTGTCCAACACAAAAAGAGTATGTTACTTGATAGAAATTATAATTGTTCTTATACAGCATCTCTCAAAGAATTCCCCCCCTATACGGTCAAAGGAAGACAGAATCTAAGACCACACATGCCGGGCTTGGCTACTATGATTCGCCAAGGCGGCAGCTGAGTTGGGTTAAGTGAATGTTTTCTCTGTGGCATTGTGCAAATCTTGGTTCGTGACGTTTTGATTTTTCCTCTGTTTTGTTCCTTTCGATTTGGGGAGTTGTGGCCAGTCGACCTCTCAATGGAGAAGATGAAAGTGACTATCGATCTTGGGCGATCCCTGAGTTTGAAAGTTTCAATACTGCTGAGCTCCTTAGTTTTTGTTGCACCACAGGAACACATTTTGCATGAAGACAAAAAGGGTTCCCTCATTTTCACTTCATCGTTTTCTATTTTTGTTTAGGTGATGGGTCATTTCAACAAGGTTTTTACTCGGTTCGTGAATAGAAAGTTTTTAGTGGGTTAGGGTTGCTTTTCTTGTAACGGGAAGAAGACAACATCCAGAAGAGGTTGCTCCTACCTACAATGTCAAGTCATGTTTTTTCATGAGTTAAGTGTTTGTGCAAATTAGTGGTAAAGAGGTATTATCGTAGTTATCGTCGGAAACGTCATCTTTGTCATCACAATTGTTGTCGTCGCTCTATCATTTGCCTTTGCCTCTGCCTCCGAGATGAGTTCACTCTCTCTTTGCCAAATCTTCTAGCTCTCCTAGTCAATTTACCCAGTTAGAGTTTATGAAAATGCTCATCGAAAAATATTTGTGGTTGGCATGATAAGATGACTATATAACAGTGAAAGAGGATGAGCAAATAGTAAGGTGTCGAAGAAAAACTAACATTTCGAAGACAACAATGAAGAAAGTAACAATACAAGTTGAAACATAAAAGAAGGCGAGGAAGTTGACAACCAAACCAACAACCATCAACAAAGGGTAGCATTTCACTTTCTCTTTATGATACATATTGTCTTGTGACCTATGTGTGTGTATGCAGGTCAAAATACATACGACAATCTTGAACACGATCTCCCCCTTGATTGGCTTAGACCTTTTTACTCAAAAGTGTTTTCATGAATCCAAAGAACAATCGGAATTGAATGCTGGTAAAGGGGTTATGCTTGGAAGTTTGGTGCCTTCCCTTAGTCTTACACTAATATGAACTACTAAAACTCTAACGTGTTCAGTCCATACACATCTCCTTCAAGCCCATCTAGTGAGCTCTGCTATGCTTATTCGCACATTGAACTTATCATTCAAAATTCTATATAAACGAGTGATTCTAATAAATACGCTTTTGGTAAAGGCTATACAATTCAACTCTTGGTTAGATATGATCTATTTAATCTTTTCATTTCAATCTATCCCATATGCTTAAATTTGTTGTTAACCTTTTCCCCGTTCATACCTACCTTGCTTTGAATCTACTCTACTTTGTTATGATGCACATAAAACGGGCAGAACGACAAGGAGAAAAAGAAAACCAAAACCACAAAATGGATGGATTAATCTCCTCCTCAACCTTTTACTTTGTTGTGCAAATAAAATAGGGAAACGACAAAGAGAGGCACAAAAAAAAAAAAAAGCCTCCAAAATGGAGGGACCCATAAATGCAATTTACAAACAATTACAACCATTTTCCCATACACTTGCAAATTGGTGGATTCATTCATCCATCAATGTTTTACGGTACAAACACCTCCCAATTGCTGAAAGTGGCAAAACCCTAATTTTGGTGCAAACCCTTTTTATTTCACACTCTTTTTTGTCCAACTTTCCCCTTTGGTGGTAACAACTCCAAAAACAGAAAGCAGGGAAAGATTAGTGAAAGGCAAAAAGGGGGGAAAAACAAAAGGTTATTATTGGGCTTCTTTCCTTCTTTTTCTTTCCTTATGTCCAATCATTGTAAGCCCTCTCTTTTTTACCCATCTCACTCAAAACAAAAATCTCAACTCTTAAACATCTTAAAATATCTTAAAGCACTTTTAGAAAAGTGCCTCTGCCACGTACTCTTAAACATAACAATAGTACAATTATAATGAAAAATTAAAAATAAATATGGGTTTCTATTCTCACTTCTCACCCCTCTACTTACAAGGTACAACAAACCTCCCCTGTCTGTCTGTCTCTCTACAAACCCTACCCCAACTGTCTCGTGAGTGATTCCATGGATTCCTGAAATCCACCGTTCAACTTCTTTCCTTTTGAAGTCTTTTTAATTCTTTTTAGCATTGTGGGAGGTCAGGAGGAGGTGGCAGTATAGACTCATTAGGACCTTTCCCATTCTCCACCACGAATGCCATCTTCAATCCCCATGTCGTATGCACCTCCAAATGGCAGTGCAAAAACCATACCCCTAAACCCACATCACAAGAAACAAAACACGATTAACTCCTAAGTTCGTAAATTCTACTTGATACCAAGAAATTACACATTGATCATGAAATCCATACATTTCGATCGTATATTTCGAAGTGTGATTAATGAATGCCTACATTGTTTTACCTGGATTATCAGCTCGGAATCGGATCGCGGTCCATCCAGCGGTTGGGACACTCATTGTGTTCCTCTCCACCGGATCAACCAAATTGAAGCTGCTCGGATCTTTACCCTTGTCGAAATTCCCCAATCCTTTCCCCACCACGAAGAAATTGAATCCATGGAGATGAATTGGATGGCTCTCCGGCGCGATCAAGCTGGTCCCCTGAAGGACGACCTCCACGGTCTCGTTAAACCCTAGCCGGTACACCTTCGTCCCGTTAGTGGTCTGCAAATTCGCCGGCGGGTTCCCCGTGTAATTGTACGGCGACGGCGGGTTCGCCGGGAAATCGTCGGTGAAGATCCCCTGTAATTTGAAGTAATGGGCCTGGAGCAGAGCCACGGTGGGGAGGACGAAGGAGACGTTGTTGATGTCGGCGACGGTCTTGGTCCCGTTGACGCAGGTCGGGCAAGGGTTGACTCCGACGCCGATTGCGAAGAGGAGGGAGTGGTCGACGGTTTGGGGCACGGCGGCGGGGTAATTTGGGGAATTGAGGCTCCTGAGTCCGCTGGCGAAGGCGGCGGTGACGGCGGTGGCGTTGATTGGTGGAGTGGCGGTGAGGTGCGGTGGGGAAAAGGGTTGGATCCCCTTGTAGCGGAGGAATCCGACGGCGGTGACGTTGTCGACGGGGACGACCGTGTCCATGAAGGGGGAAACGGCGATTGTGTATTTTCCGGCGGTTTGGTCGGCGGTGAGGAGGGCGTTTGTGGTTTGCCCCGGCCCGAGAAAGATCGTGTCGGTGGTGAAGGGCTTTGTGTAGGCGGCGTCGGTTTCGACGACGGTGAGTTTGTGGCCGGCGATTTTGAGGAAGAGCTCGTCGTTGACCGCCGCGTTCACGATCCGGAGCAGGTAGGTTTTCCCACTTGCGACTTGGAGACTGTACCCTGCACGCGCCGTGAAGATCCTTTGGAAGGGAAATTACAGAAATGATACCCTAACTAAGAAATTACTAAAATTGCATCACTGACTTCATACTTTCCATTCAAACGGTCATCCAACTAAATAAAACAGTTACCAACACCTACTATTTCCCGTTCAAGCATCAAATCGTCGTATTTGAATTGAGAACGCTCAAATTGGTAGTGGGGATTCTGTTATCCATGATATATCTTTCTTAATGTTTCCACTATAGTTCATATGAAATTAAATGAGTCTATGTGAGTATGAGATTGAAATGAATCCATACCGGAAGAAGGGCAACCAGCGACAGGGCCAGGATGACCATTAATAGTATGAGAATCCGAAATGTTCGGTGGCAGCCCAGTCATTGTGGCCTGCTTCACTACACTTTCAACATCGGCTCTCCACCATTCCCCTGGTTCATTTCATGATTAGTTCTACACAATCAACTCAACAGTAAAAAAAAGAACACTCAAGCATATACATAACAAGGTAAAAGAAAACGCTCTCACCAAGTACAATGACCTTTTCACCATCAGGTTTTGGGAAAGGATAAGGAACACCTTTCTTAGGAAGTATGACAATGGCTCCATACACAGTTGCCCTTAGCCACGAAATATGTGCATGCCAAAGCAGTGTGCCTCTCTGCCCTGTGAGCGTGAAGTTGTACAAGAAGCTCTGTCCACTCTGGATTGGACATTGGGTCACATAAGCCGGCCCGTCGGACCATCCGGTGCGAAGCTGCCTGACCCCGTGCCTGCAAATTATCTCATCGACCAGATCATCTCAATAACTCGACACTCTTATTGCAAGTTACGGGGAAAGTGAAATTTGTTTCGTTACGATATTTACCAGTGAATGGTGATGTTGTTAGGGACATGGTTATGAACCCTAACAAGGACATTGTCACCTTCCCTAGCGTAAAGGGTCGGCCCTGGCACCTTCCCATTAATGGACACCACTGACTTGCTTGAACAAAGCCTCGTTGTGTTTGTCGACACCACCTGCATTATTAACCCACAGCATCTCAAATCCAGCCATAGATGGACTATCTATTCATGCAGAAACCAAACCAGTAAGTAAGTTGTACTTACGTTGAATGTGTACTTTCGAACCGCAGAATGGACCGATGCTGGAACAAGGACGACAATCACTAACAGCAGCATTGATCGAAACCTTGAATCACCCATCGTTTCGATCTCGTTGTTTTTCGCTCTGGCTCTTCCCCTGCAGGCTCCTCTGGAGTTTTCTACTGCAACGAAAAGGAAGTGTAAATGTTTCTGCCTGTTTAGGAGGAAGTGCAAGTGTGATTGACCACCTTATAATATGTATATATGGTTATGGGAATTGGGATGTGCTTTGATGGAATGTCTTTTCAACTTGTTAGGTGAATGACAGCAGCCCTCGGTTCTTATTGTAGGCGGTCCTCCCCATTTACAGTTCTGTCCTATAATAATGCTCTCTGTTAGGGTTTTCTTGCATACTACACAACATGTTCTATTTTTTTCTTCTTGTGTATGGATCAATTTGACTGAAACTTACAGCCCACCTGCAATTTCTTTTTGTTTTTTTCGTTCTTGTTCTTCATATTGTCTTCTGAGTGTGACTTAGTTGCTTGTAAAGTCATGGTGTATGTACATGTAGCTATCTGAGAGTTGATCATTTGCTGGATGGAATTTTTTTCTTTTCTGGGAAGAGTTCGAAGTTAACCGTAGTTCTTCAGAAGTTGATAATTGGGTTGCTTGGATTTCAAGTACTTGTTTGGTGCCTTCTATTCTCTTGACTAATAGATATTATTAACCCGAAATTTGAAGATATATATGATTTAGATTTCTATCTTCATTCATCTTATCTATCGTTGAAGGAACAAGTTAAATACGCATTGAGCTTTATTCATACCAATGAAATCTCGGTTATTGATGGACACATTTCTTCAAAACAGAACTCAAATGTCTATTTCATTCTTTTTTTTTTTTTTTTGTACACATATATGTATGTTTTCATTTGACTGAGTGCGAAATTCTAGAAAAGAAACCTACACTTCCAGAAGCATATGAATTGAGAGCAGACATTACATTAGATGGTGATTGAGGTGGCAAGTAATGATCCATATATGGGCAGTGAGGAAAAGAAAACAGAAAAAAGAAATTAAAAAAGGTACCAAAAATACAGATGTTGTGGTTAGGAAATGGCTTTCAGGATTCACTGCTTTTGGCTTATAAACTTTATACACTTCTCTGCACCTTCTAACACGTTTTCTCCTCCAGGGCTTTGCCTTTTTTTCCCAGGACATCCAACAAACACACAAGTTCATGAAACAACATGCACCTGTTGTCATGAGATATCAATGTTTATGGAAATTGTTGGACCAAATATTGAGGCACATGGGTCCCAAGCCCACAAAGTCACCAAAAGCCCATGAAAGGGAAAGCCCACCCGAACAGGGGCAAAAACACCATTCGAGGGAGGTCTTCACCGGCCCTCGGATGAAACCGCCCGACACCCGGGCCTGCCCAAGGTAGAAGACCGCCCGACAATCTGGTCTAACGGACTTCTGTCCTTTGGGTACGGAATCTGACAAGAGACATGACCAGAGCGAGCATTTAATGAAAGCAGAGGCGACCTCGAACGCCCGACAAGCTATTAAATGCGCGCAACACCATCAGAACTAGTATAAATACCCAATGATAGAGCTCATTTATGGTAACTTCAACCAACTCGATTCTCTCTCTTATTTACATCCTCCTCACTTCTCTCTCTAACTTAAGCATCGGAGGAGGTCCCAGGAACCCCCTGAGGACCTTTCTGCAGGGTTTCAAAGACCGCCCCCGACCATCGAAGCCGCCCAAGGCCTGTGGAGTCTCACAAACCGCTTGGTACATTCCAAGCACAAACATTTTGGCGCCCACCGTGGGTCTCCTACTACTTTGTGGCGAACGAGATGGGAGACGACTTCGAAACCCCCCTCAAGGGGATGACCGAAAACAATACCCTCCGAGGCTTATCACCAAGGGTCGAAGATGAACCCGAGTTGGAAGAAGTGGTCAAGAATCAAGGGATGCAAATCGCAAGCATGCAAGACAGCCTTTCCCAAATTCTTCAGCTCCTGAAGACCCGAGATGACCCCGCCGAGGGCTCGAAGGGAAAGGCGCGCGACGAAAGGCTGAAGGGCGCTCTTATCCTCGACAGCCCTGCTCGGACAGAAGGCGGAGGACCAGAGGCCGACGACCCGGACCTCAACTTTCTAGAGGAGCATCTGCGGTCAACCTTCGGGAAGCACAAGAGCCCGAACGTTCTACAGAACCCTCTTTCGAGAGAACTCTTCAAAACTCCGGTGCCCCCAAATTTCTCCTCTCTGGGACTACCAACCTACGGTGGGACATCCGATCCCGCCGATCATCTTTGCGCATTCATGTTAAACATGCAGCTCATCAACGCTACGGACTCGGATCTGTGTCGAGCGTTCCCGGTCACCTTCAGCGGTCAATGCCGAACTTGGTATACCTCCCTACCAGAAGGGATTATAGAAAACTTCGAGCAGTTTGCGATGCTCTTCTCCACCAAATTCGCGTCTCAACGGCGCCGCAAACTCACCGTCTCGGCGCTCATAGGTTGCCGACAGAGGAAGGAAGAGTCGCTTGCTGAATTCTACGACCGATGGAACGCGATAGCTTGCGAAATAGACGGTATCTCCCCCGTCGTGGCTGCCGGGAACCTCCGAATCTCGACAACTAGTCTCGAGCTAAAAAGAACGTTGACAAAGAAAGAGGCGACCCTGGCGGCCTGGTCTGACTTAGACCAATTGGTGCGACGAGCGATCTTATTGGAGGAAGCGCTAGCCAACGACGACCGAGGCCAACAAAGCCGCCCCCGAGGAGACGCCTCAGAGCGTGGAGACTCCCGGAGGGGAAAGCGGTCCCCAGACCGAAGGTCGTATCGGAACAAGTACCCCGATAGGGAAGGAAGAAGAGACGTCCTTTCCACCGACAGGGAAAGAGGACGAGATCGAAGGAAAGGCGGAAGGAAGCACGAGGCGTCTTCCGCCCAAGAACCGCAGGAAGGAAAAAAGTGGTGCGATTGGCATCAAATCACGACCCATGACACCACAGAGTGTAGAGAGTTCAGGGCCACGCTCCGACATCTGGCCCCAGGAGACCTGAGAAGCAAGCTAGAGACGAGGCGGTCCCACAGAGAGCACTCGACAGAAGAGCGGGAGGAGTCCCCGAGTCCTGAGCAGGACAAGACAAGACGCACGAGAAAGGAAAGGTCAAGATCTCGCTCTCGAAACAAGGTCACCTCCCCGCTGAGGCAGTCTCCTCCATACAGAGCACCCCGAGACAATGATGATGGGATGGAAGTCATAACGATCGCGGGAGGGCGGAAGCGCCCGAGAACAGAAGGAGACCGCATCGCTCAATGTCTCAACGTACAGCGGAGGGCACCGACAGAGGTCGCCTTCCTGCCCTCTGAGTTGGCCAGCGAAGACAACTCAGAAGACCCCTTGGTCATTTCCTTTCGAACCGCCAAGTTTAAAGTCACCAGAGCCCTTGTCGACAATGGAAGCTCGGAGGATATATTATTCTACTCAGCGCTCAAAGGAATGAAAAAGAGCGTCCAAGACCTCAGTCCTTCCAACACCATCTTGGTAGGATTCTCCGGCACCAAAGTCCGTGTCCTCGGCTCAATCACGCTCAAAGTCACCATAGGAGAAGGAGGAATCACAAAGACCAGACCCGTAGAGTTTCACGTGGCGGATTGTCCTTCAGCATATAACGCCATTCTCGGACGCGGTTTCCTAGCTTCGTTCGAGGCGGTCGCATCCACATGCCACCAAATGCTCAAGTTCCCAAGCGGAGGGCAAACCGGGCGTGTTCGGGGTAACCTAAAGGAGGCTAAAGAATGCTACCAAGCAACCATCGAACACCTCGAAGTTGATCTGGTCGACACAAGGGGTGACGTTCCGAGACCGGAAGCGGTTGAAGGAGACGTAGCGGTCGCCCTCGACGCAGAGCGGCCAGAGAGGACGGTGCGTATCTCTGCGCACCTTGCCCAAGAGGAAGCTCAGAAACTACTCTCGCTTCTCAAAGAGTTCCAGGACCTCTTCGCATGGGGACCGGAAGACATGCCCGGGGTCCCACGGAAGGTCTCCGAGCATCGCCTCTCAGTCAAAGCTAAAGCGCGTCCCATACAACAGCGAAGGAGGCACCTGTCGGTCGAAAAACAAATGGCACTGGAGGAGGAGGTGCGCCGCCTCCTCAAAGCCGGATTCATCAGAGAGGTCAAATACCCTACTTGGCTCTCAAATCCGGTCTTTGTACGCAAGGCTGGAGGCGCCTGGAGAATGTGCATCGACTTCACTAGCCTTAATGCGGCCTGTCCCAAGGACGCGTACCCTCTTCCCCGTATTGACCAGCTCATAGACGGGACCGCCAACCATGAGGCTCTCAGCTTTCTGGATATGTTCTCCGGATACCACCAGATCAGAATGGCGGACGAGGATCAAGAGCTCACTGCTTTCATGACACCCATGGGCAACTTCTGCTACGTAGTCATGCCCTTCGGGCTAAAGAACGCGGGGGCGACCTATCAGCGAATGGTGGATACGATCTTTAAGGAGCAAATGGGAAGGAACGTTGAGGCCTACGTTGACGACGTACTGGTCAAAAGTAAGAAAGCAAGCGACCACCTGTCCGACCTGAGGGAAACCTTCGAAACACTGAGAAAGAAGAATCTAAGGCTCAACCCGCTCAAGTGTGTCTTCGGCGCCGAGGCGGGAAAATTCCTAGGGTTCATGATCACAAAACGAGGGATAGAAGCCAACCCAAAGCAAATTGAGGCCATACGCGCCTTGAAGCCGCCAAAGACCATCAAACAAATCCAAGCGTTCAACGGAAAGATGGCCGCTCTCGGAAGATTCATCCCGCGGTCCGCCGACAAATGCTCTCCTTTCTTCCAAATGCTGAAGAAATCGGCATCAAGGCTCCAATGGGGTGCAGAGTGCGATAAAGCCTTTCGGCTGCTGACTGACCAGCTCAGCCAACCGCCGGTTTTGAGCGCCCCCATCAGTGGAGAGCGGCTCTACCTATACCTAGCGGTCTCCGAACAAGCTGTGAGTTCTGTCCTGGTGAGGAGAGCACCAGATGGCTCCGACCGACCCGTTTACTATGTGAGCAAGGCACTTCTTCCCGCCGAGTCAAGGTATTTGCCAGTCGAGAAGGCGGTCCTCGCAATCGCCTCAGCAGCAAGAAAGTTACGACCATACTTCCAAGAGCACC